GCAGTGGCCCGGCTCTGCTGCCTCATGGCCCAGGGGCAGGGCCCGGGGAAGGGATCAGCAGATGTATTTCGGGGTGCCTGACCTCTTTGTGAGGTCCAGCACAGACACAGCACGTGCAGGTGAGGGTCTACTTGGACCCCATTTGTGCTGTACCTGAATGATGCTAATTAAGTTTCAGCAATTCATCCTAGCCTGCAGTTGCTGTGTTCCTGTCAGCTTTGATGCAGGGCCTGTGGACCTAAAAGCTTTATGGGCTGCTCTAATAAAAGATCTCCTCTCCCCGTCTAGCCATCCTCCCCCCTCTCCCCCCGACCTGGCCCTCTGTGATCCTGCTCAGGCTCTTGACAGTGGCAACAGGAAACCATGGGCAGAGAACCAGCAGGACATCAGCAACGAAGAAGGTCACCATGCTGCAGCCTTGGCACGCCGCTCTTTCCAGCAGCTCCTCCCACTCACTCCAAATGTGCCAAGACATCTCTGTGCCCAGCATGGCAGGTGAGTTTGCAAGCGAGTTGGGTTTGTGTGACAAGGTTGAAGGTAGGAGTGTGCAGCATGGGCTCATCCCAGAAGTGCGCTCCAAGCGTGGCCTTCAGGAATGTCTACCGGTTAAACAGACATAACAGACCACCAGCCTTTAATTATTTAATACATAGTTTATTGAGCTGGGTTGACTAAATTGCCGGTCTGACCCTCTCGCTGAGCCCCAATGCATCACAAGTGAAGCCGCAGTCGTGCTGTAATGGCCACCAGCGTGGGAAGAATAGCTCTGGCTGGCCAATATCTGATCCACTGGGAAGATGCAGGGAATGCAAATCCCTCCCTGAGCAGTCCAGTCCTAATGATAACCCCAGAACAGTCCCATGGTGTCTTAGGAGCCCTGGGATAATGTCTACACTGTGCCTTGTTCTCCCTGCACCAGCAACAGAAAAGATAAGTGAAGGACCCCTTAAGAGCAGAGATGTCTGAGAAGGCCTCATTAATGTCCTCACTCTGGTCCCCCAAGGGGATGGGGCAGGCAGGTTACATTTAGCACAGGACATTGATGCTTTGGCTCGCACAGAGGGAAGGAGTTCAGCTACAGTGTGGCGCTTGGTATATGAGGCAGGGTCAGGTAACAGTATGGGATGCGCAGAAGACCTGCATGAAGGTATGAAGCTATAAGTATATAAGCCACAAGGCACTCACACCTTCACAATAAGCACTGGACCACAGCTGGGACCACGTTCCTGGGTCTGAGTTGGCTGGAAGTGGAACCATGGCAGTGGGGCTGCCAGGACCCAGAACATGGGCAGGGGAACAAAGGTGCCTGATAGATGCTCCTAGCTGGAGGGGAGCTGGGGCAGGAGAATCCCCAGCACTGGTACCAAAGCACGCAGGAGGAGGAGGAGCTGAGAGAAGAACTCTTTGCAGAAACAGTCCTGTAAGTCTGCTTGCCCCAAGCCCTGTGCTAGTGACTTGGCTGATGTGGAAGCACCAAGAGACAGGCTGGGGGGGAGCTCTGCCCCTTCAAAGGATGGGGCTGTGGGATTCCTGACCCAGCAGTGACCAGGATCTGCACGACCACTGCCCAGATAACCCCTGCCCCCAGGAACTTGACAGCTGCAGTGTACAGTGGTGGGGAAGGGGCATTTTTCCTCCCAGAGACCTGAGATGTACAGTCACAAAGAGACCCAAAGAATCATGAGAAACCTGGTCTCCAGCAGCTGCCCATGGCCTCACAGGCAGGCTGGGGGCAGAGCTGCAAGTCCAGACAGAAGCACGAGCCCTAGCCTATGCTTGAAGAGTCAGTAGTAGGCGCCTAGAAGGGCTGAAGCCTTGCGCAGGAGGTCCTTGTGGTTGGCGTGCACAGGAATCCTCTTGTCTAGCACCTGCCAGCGGATGCACAGCTCCGGGTCACAGCCTTGGAGGAACTGGAAGGGAAAAAAGACACTGCACAAGTTGAAGGCAAGGGGCCATCCCAGGCACATCCAACAGCACCTCCAGCCCCTAGCCTCCTGCCCTCTCTTTTTGAGGCCCCTGTTGCTATGCCACCCCAAGTTTGGCCCCACATTCTGCTGTGTGCAGCTGGAGAGACCTACTCTCAATTAGGGTAAGAGCTGGGTCTGTAACCAAACGGATTTGGAGGGAGGATCTGCCTTGCTTGTGGTCTCACCTGCCCCATGCCTGCTTGGAGCTGGGTCAGGGAGCCATGGAGGCAAGATGCCCTTACCGAATTCATCCGCTTCATCTCCACATCATTCCGGTCATCAAAATGTATGCTGATGGCGACAGTCTCAACCCAGGCATTGTCTGTGTTGCGGGGGTCATCGAGGTACCCCTTATGTATCTGTGCATGGAAGGAGAGTGCTGCATTAGCAGAGCCTTGGACAGCACCAAGAGGTTCTAGGTGCCCCATCAGCCACGGGACGTTTTACAAAGGACTGGGTGTGCATGCTGGAGTGGCGGGGGCATATTGCTCCACCACTCCTCTGCCTCTGCTGGAGAACTACTTTCCTGTTTCCACTTTGTGTCCTCTGAGCTACAGTCATGGAGAATGATTGCAGCAGGCGCAGACACCCACCAGCCTGCTTCAGAAGCTGAGATGGGGTGGCACATGTGGCCCAAGCCCACAAGGTCCCCAGGCATGCTCTCAGACCCTGGGCATGGTTTCAGGCCATTATGCTGTGCCTCTGCCTCCACCAGCTATTCCTATCCCAGTCTGAGGGCTTGGCGTGAGCACTGGCAAAAGGGTTTGCACCCTGCTGTCCTACTGCTATAACCCTTGCATACCACTGTGACACCGCGCAGCCCCGTACCTCAGTGCCTTGTTTCAACAAGTTCTGGAATTGGGGCCAGAACTCCCGGCGCAGGATCCACTTGAGCTTCAGTGGTAGCATCTCACCGGGCTCCAGTGACCCCTGCACCAAAGCACATGTCACTTGAGGGCCCTGCCTGTGGGCCAAATCAGCCCTCTCTCATTGCTGCCAGTTTGGTGCCTCTCACAGTTGCCACTGCAACAGGAGATGGCACCACAAGCTATGTTAGGGTGGGAGTAATTGGTGGAGGGACCTCCCTTTCCTTCCTCCCTCTGCCAGAACTCCTCAGCTGTGTCTGAAAACATGTCTGTATTTAATTGTTTTAACCTCTGTAATTTGCTGCCACAGGACACTATGCCAACAGCTTAATAAGATGTCCTAAAGGACAAGCTGTGACTGAACAGGAAGGGGGGAAAAGGGTTGTGCCTCCAGGCACAAACAGGACCCA